ATCTTTTGGTTTAAATGAATACATTTAGCAACAGTGGCTCAAGGGTCAGGAGTAAGTGGTTTGAACCCAGGCTCCTTTCGTCAGCCGTCGTGTCTTTGGGCAAGACACGTAACCCACCTTGCCTTCTCATGGCAGTTAGGGTGGCGCCCATGGGCAGCTATGGCTACAATGTAGCTCATCACCTTCAGCATGTGAGTGGGTGTGTGTGAATAGATGAATGATTCACTTTAGTATGAAGCACTTTGAGGTCCTCTGTCTCAGAAAGTGTAGGTTATTAAACCAACATTTATCCTGAAGATTGAGAAATAAAATGATGGGTTTTTGTGAAAAGAACTTGCATTGTGGTTTATCTTATGGGAAAATATTAAAATGTCTGTATTGTTCTTGATGGGAAATACTTTCTTTTTATATAAGCGCAGCTGAATTGTAACTGTTGATTAGGTACGAATGAGATGTTTTTAAGTGATTTTCTGACAAATGTATCATGCTCATTTAACTTACATGTTGGCGTTGTAAATAACAAATTCTAGCCAGGAGGTGGTTGGATAAGCAGAGAACAGCTGGTGCATTGTTCAAAGTGTCCAAGGAAAAAAAAATCACTTAAAATAATGAGATAAAACTGGAACAGCTGCTCCAATGTCATTGTTAGTTTGGTTTAGGTTTAATGTCAATTAAAGGCTAATTTGAGTTGTGGGACAGCCTGCCCGAGTCAGTGTAGGCTTTGTCTTTTCATTTTGAAACGCATTTTCTTGGTAAAATAGCTGAAGGACAGAACATATTTATAATTCTCAAGTTAATGAAGGCAGTCAACGCTTCCAGTGTTAGCATATGGAGCTATTTTACAGCACATGTCGAGGCTAATATGCACGAGTGTTTTGGAAGTGAATAAAAATTCCGGCTGACATGATCACACTCCCTTCCCTTGTACTGCGTTTCCCACCCTTCACAGTCAAACTGTCCTCCATTTTTCTTCTCGCTAATTAACAGTCAGGATGGTGATTAGTAATGAGGCAGAGCTCCCCACCCCTCCATCATCCTCCGTACTCAGAGGTGGGTTCTTTCTGAGATTGGAACATGTGTTAAAAACAGCCAGCAGTCACAAACAGCCCTGAAACAGTGGGGGGGGGGGGGACGTGCTACAGGGTATAAACCAACACGCGACAGAAAACTGTCATAGATGCGCCCCAATGCACTCAAACATCTGGTTTCACCTTCAGATATTTTCCCTCCTCATTATGAAGCACACCAACACACACACACACGTGCACGAACACACGCTCTAGTTTTCCGGTTTGACGATTAAAAACAAACACTGGTAGCGTGTCGTTATCTCACATTGTTCATCATCCATTCACGCATGCCGTGTCCATGCAGACACATTCACAAAGCGTCATTTAGCTTCCCAGTGAGTGACGACTGAGCTTATTTCACAGTTTCACAAAGATGGTGAAAAGGGGGGGGGGGGGGGGGGGGGGGGGCAAGACATAGACAAACAGAAAGCAAGCCCAGACATAAACAGATCGCCAGACAGGCCTTCTGCCGCTGGGTTAGTGATTCAGAATACTAACAAGGCCTTTTAGCTCACACCAAGGGTGTGTGATATGGGGCAGATTCATGTGATGAAAAGTGAGGAATGACTTGCCCTTGAAATAGGTCTGGCTGTCTTATGTGGACTTTTACAGTGTCCATACTTTTATGCTACCAGAGACAAAATGACAGCAAACATGATCAAGGATGCATTTTCAGAGGAAAACAAGGGTATGAATGTGCATCTCTCTCTCAGTATATCCATGTCTGTAAAATGTTCAAATACAAGAGTCTCCAGTTCCTGTCTGCAGAGTGATGAGCGCTTATTTTAAGCTGGATATTCTTCACATGATCCCTAATCTGCAAACAGTTAATTATGAAGAGTGATAAGAATCATTCTGATGCTTTTTAGAACAGAAAAAGGTTATTGTATTCCCATAATAATCATCATATTTAGGCATCAAGTTATTATAATTAGTTTAAAATCATTGAAGGTTATGAAAAATGCACTGCTTTAAAAGAGTATTGTTGCTGCAGAGAATCTGTGGTTTTTATAGATATAAAACATAATCTCATGTATTTATTTAACATAAAGGAAACAGAGTTTGTAGAAACTCCTCATTAGTTTTGCATTAAGTCCTATTGAGCAGGAACCTTATCCCATTTGAGCACAGAACTGTAGAGGTATGGCTTATAACTTTTGGAATGAAATGACTTAAAGACGTAGAGATTTAATTCCCGGGTATTTTTTCTCACATAATTTGAAAAGTAATGAGCCCGGTCTTCTTAAGGTTCTTGTAGAGATTTTACTACCTAACAAGTATATTTCAGTGATGACACCCTGCAGCCCGACTGGCGTAGTCCTCACTGAAATACACTGGTTTTCCAGCTTACACCCATTATTATCAGTTCCAGCTAGAAGGAGAACAATGGTGTTTTCTCTTATGTGAGTTTGTTTATTAGCAAAACATCTGATGAACCAGTGGGCTGATTTGAATTAACCTTTCAGAATTTAACAACTGGATGTACGTCAGGTCAGTTTAGGATGGTTAGAGATGGATAAGAACCAGACTGGCCTTGGCCCTAAAAACCTGTACAGGAGATAGAATGGCTGCTATCGCTCCACTCACCTCTGTTCGATGCTCCTTCTTTCATCCAAGCAGGAAGTGAAACTCGCAGCCATTTTTCTTCTTCTTCTTCTTCTCCTTGCCTCGTTTGATCAGGCTAGCTGTTGTAGTCCTCTTCACGCTTGTCGAAAAAAAGTGCTTTTCTGGCATCAGAATGTGTCTCAAATTCACGGACATCAAATGTGAAATCCGTGGTGCGTATATCAAATGGGATCAGAAAATAACTTTCGTCGGCCCGAACAAAGAGCCAGAAGTTGATAGGTGTGGGCATGTCCCCTGCAGGTTTGACCATCCAGAAATTACATTACGGTTGAGTACTAAGATCAAGCGGAAAACAACCACTTGTGTTGAAGCCCGTTTCCCATTAGAACCGTCCATAAGCCCATCTATTGGCTCTGCTGATACTTGCTAACATGTGACTGGCCGTTCCTGCCACTTGTGTACTTGACAGTTCTGCATTTCTGAGATTGCATATACATACATTTATACACATTTTTTGTATACTTACTACCTAAACTACATCCATGGGTGTGGGTGTATGTGGGTGTTCCGGGGTTTGGGTTCCGGTGATAATTAGTTTTAGGTGCTTATTATATTGCTCTCTACGCATTTCCTCTGATAATTCAGTGACACAAAAGCCTCCAGGTCATCAGATTACATTATCATAACGAATACCAATGCGCTAGTATGAAACTTGTAAGTGGAAGATAAATAAAAGTTACAGGGCTTCTGTTTAGACTTAATCTAAATCACATAGGAAGTCATTTTCAGGGTGTTTCATGTTTTCTTTTCTCTTCTTTGAAATGAACTGAAAACAGGAAAGTGCACATGTTGAACTGAAACAGAACAAACGGAGCTCCAACTGCAGCAGGCAATGCTTGGGATCCAAATAAAAGACAGTCCTGTCACAGGTTTCACAAACCCACCACCTGAGATCTCCACTGCTGCTCACTTTATTCTGCATAGCTCACTTGTTGGTGGTGTTGCTTTTTTCCTCTCTGTTTTTTTTTTTTTTTTACCACAAAGCCTCCATACTTGTTGCTTATCCAGTGTTGGATTGCTGACACCAATGCTATAACGTAGTGTATTTATGTAAAGGCGCACAAGTTAAGCTGATGAAACTGAGTCTGAATAAAAATCTCTCATGTAGAAGTTGAATGGTAAAGCAGCCACACCAGTTTAAATCCCACAATTGTTTCAAGCTTTGGGATGGATCAGCCCACTGTTTTCCTTCACATACTGTCACTATGGAAGGGAACAATCAAAATGCCTAAAACAAACACTACTGGGGATTTTTCCATTCTGATTGTGGAGGAAGTTACTTCAACTGTTTTGTACTCATTCTTTATTTTTTTTTTCAACTTTAATCCTAAACCCTAAATGTATTATTTGCATGTGGACATCAAGTTTACAGTAGGAGATTATGAGCATGAGGAAAAACAAAAAAAGCTGTGTTGCAATCACAGTGAAAGCATGTTTTGTTTTAATTAAGACAGCCAAACTTCGTGACACATTTTCTGTAGTAATATCTGTGAGGGATACACAGAGATCTGCAGGCATCAACACTGCATGCATATTTATTTGGCAATGAAGGGAAATATTTGGACCATGCCAGGACTTTGTTTATTTAAGTCTTCCAGCAATGGCAGCCTTCCTTCCACTGTAGATCTTGTGGCGTCTGCATCATGCCAAAAACTCTCCAGCCTGGTTTTGTCCACTGGGACCTGGCATTCCTGTCTGTCATGTGCTATCAGTGATGCTGCAGGCGCTGCTCTGGCCTGCCCGGCTCTTCTTCCACTCCCTTTTTTCTTTCCCACTTCACCCCTCTCTCTCTTTAGCATCCCAACATACAGCAAGCAATCCACTTTGTACCCTTCATCTATTCTTCCATCTAGACTCCTTGTGCTCACATTTTCTCATCTGAAAGACTGCTGCTGATGTTTCACGCTGAGCTGTGGAGCTTTATCCCTTTGATGCATGAATTATGAAATCTTCAACCATGATTTTTTAAACTTTTTTTTTCATTCGTCTTTAGGTGTGAATGAAACAAATTTCAACTAATATTTTTTGTAAAATTTTATAATTTACAAATAATTTATTACATGTCCACTTCAGTGGGCAGCGTGCATTCTGAGCATGAAATATGTTGGCTTGGCTTTCTGAAGTCCAAATGGAGGGGCTCAAATGCAATAAAGTCTTAACAGCTGTGCTTAATAGCAAAAACAAATAAATAACAATTTTGAGTACCTGTCCACTGTAGTGACCATTATGCATCAAAGGGTTATTTTGGTTGGATTGTCTTATTTCTGATGTGTTTCTGTCTCTTTTTTATTGTCTCTCTCACAGATGTAAAGAGGGCTATCATGGACTACGATGTGACCAGTTTGTACCCAAGACAGATGCAATCTTGTCTGATCCAAGTATGCTCTCTCACTTTTTGTTTGTTTTTATTTGATGTGTTTTTTTTTCTACCACCGTCTGGGTTATTGATCTGCCACAAGAAAACGCAAGAAAATTCCTAACTGTACTCCATTTTTCAACAAGATTAATTCAAAGACAGACCTGCCTGGGCCTAAATTATCACTACAAACAGTATATGAAGGGCTACACACATAGGGTCAACGTTCTCTTCAGAGTAAAGGGAATTTCTTGGCCATTTTGTTAAAAAATTCACTGATAACCTGTAGACGTCTTCTTGAATGGCTGCAGTTTGAAGAATAAACAACAATAGGCAACATGATTGATGAGCTAACAGCTAGTTTGAGCTAAGCTAAAACTGAAATGTTCATTGATTTGAATAAAAATATGACATTGCATGATCCACAATGAAACATTTTAGTCATTTTATGGTAACAGCAAAACACTTTAGTGCTGATTTCACTCGAACTAGCTGTTAGCTCGATAAATGTCACTTTTGATTCTATTTCTTCATGAAGCAAGATGCAGAAACACTTAAAGATGGTTTCACTGAGCTGCAATTGTTGGCGACTTTGAAGAGAAGATATGCACGTTTATTTGGAATCCCTAAATAAGGCCTTATGATACATTTGCAATCATTTTTTTATTTGTACAGGTGACATGGGTCATGTGGCATAATTTAGAACTATTTGTGACAATCATGCAATTTTCCTTGTCACAGTTTGGTCACAATTTGTCTTAATAATGTTTTAATTTCTCTGCTATTCCCTCATTGTGTTTTTATTGTGACCGTCAACCTCTGGCAGAGATGTCCAAGGCTTTTCACACTTTTAGATAAAAAAAAAACTATTTAAAATTCAAGATTTGCCATTGTCATTCCTGAAACATGTCGTACAAATTCAACAACAAAGTAAGGGTCTGGGTTTGCTTGTTGTTAAATAACAGTAAAAGTAAACAATATATATTTGCAGCTAAATATCAAAGTTTAAAAATAATTTAAACGTAAACCCAGCCAGTAATAATCTGCTACTTTGACACACACACACACTCACACACACACACACGTTCCACTAGTGTATGCGATCGTTCGTGAATTTGTTCGTTTTTTCTCGTGAATGTGAACTGAACTCATTCGTATTTTGCCTGACGAATGTAAAAGTGAGTGCGTTCGTCCTGGCATGCATGAATGGGTTTATGAGTTTATGGGTTCTTTTGCCATTCTAGCTCTAGATCTCCACGGAGCTTTTCTGTAGCTAAAGCCTAGCTAAAACATCCTGTTAACCATAGAGTTTATAGAAAGTAGAACCCGCAAATGCGGCCAAACATAGGCAGTAGCAGTTGGTGCGGCGTCTACTCTTCTATGTCTATGGTGTGCGCAGGAGTCAAAGTTCATTCTGAAAAATAAAAAAGGGACTTAGCTGAAAGATTAAACATTATTTAATGTTTTGCATTTTTTATTTTTGGACTTTGACTTTGCTATCTCAGCCTGCTTCCTAAGTTTGTTTAATAATTTCCTATTAAAATACTGTTCAAATAATGTTTTCCTCATGTTAATGAAAATATACTGTAGGGTAAAAACTGCCACTGGATATGAGTGTGGACTGAATGGATGCCAACTATTGAAATTTTTCATAAGTTTATATATATATATATATATATATATATATATATATATATATATATATGAGAGAGAGAGAGAGAGACAGAGAGAGAGAGAGAGAGAGAGAGAGCATGCATCTGTACCAACACTGTACAGAAGCATTTAAGGATGTGAGATAAAGAAATCTGCTTTCGCACAAACTTTTTGAACATGGTAAAAATTGCAGTGAGCCTCTGTGATCATCATGCAGGATTAAGCATATTCTAATAATATCACATTATTTGTTTAACTACCTAAGGTTACACCATGAGACATATAATCCAGGTATTTAATCAGGATTTTTGTTTTATCATTCTACTACGTTGTGCTGGCTTAAAAGTTGGAAAGTTTTCAGTTTCCCCTTTTTCCATTAAATAATTGGAGTCTTTGTGTCTCTGTGAAGTGTTTGTGGTGTAGTTAAAAATACGCAAACGTCAAAGGTACAAGAAAGAGAAATTGGAGGCCCCGAACATCTCCCACGAGGCCGTGGCTTTACAATTTCACTCTGTTTCGGGGACTGACTCGACTCCTCTGCTGCCAGAGTCAGAGGGAAAACTTAAGGCCTATTGCTTTCTAATTCCACTCGGCCCTCTGAGAGTTCATTAATGGGGTCACAAGCCAGAGCCGTGAAGTCTGTTTGATGCTCTCGCATGGCACGCCTTCCACCCTGGGATTTGTTTTTATCTTCTATAGGAAGGCATCAATTTTCCTATGGATCCACTTTGAAGACTTCACTGACTCTTATTGGATTTGGCACTAGATACGCTGGAATCCACACATGGATTAGAATATATTTATAGCACATGTTGGTTTATTCAGATATGTGGCAGCTGCAGTCAGAGGTCAAAGAGCAGCTTTTAAAAGTGAAAGTTTTTACTTTTTGGAGATGAAAAACTTTTAGGAGTCACCATAATTCTCAGCAGCTATATTGGAAACGTATAAAGTGGTTTGATTAGCATGTGGGAAGGGTGAACACTTCAGAGCCAGCAGCTCCCAGACAACAGCAGGAACCCCAGAGATGCCAGGCTGTGGTTTTCACAGCAGCAGCTCACTCTGTAATAACAGTGGTGTGATGCTGCTGGATTAGCTTGATTCAGTCATCTACAACCTTTTTCATCTTATGACCTTCTAAAACAAAGGCTCACTGTTAACAGCTGTGTTTAGAGGGAGTGGCTCTGCACCTTTTTTACATGTTTATTTGTTTTTAGCTGCCTGTTAACTGTTTATCACATGAAATGTAGTAAATGTTTAAATAATTAAGCCTTAGAAACACTTGTGTGAAGCTCAGAAATAAATACACTCTTTAAGAGACAAAAACATCACTAACAAAAACAGCACATGTTGAGAAAGGCTTGATGCTTTCATTTAATTAGTCTTGTAATTAAATGATTCAGATTTACTCTCATCTCTTTTTTAGCTGTACAGTTACCCTTTGTCTTTGTCTCTGTGTTATGTGATGAAATAGTTGGTCTTTTAAAGGTGCGGTAGACATTTTTCAATGATTTTTTTCTAATTATAATCAGTCAGAGTTTTTGGCTACACATGAAAACAGTCTTCTACACCTATCTCCTGTTTTAGCTACCGAAAGAAAATAGGTGGTGACATGATAGGATTTAAAAGTCCTCTCACTGTGATGTCACACTGTGAATTTGCATTCATGGCCATGCCCATCCTGGCCTGTGCCTGCCCACATGAAGTTTTTTTTTTAATGCAGAGGAGCATCTGGGTGACTTTGCAACATGACTGAATGTGTTCTGTTGGCCAATCAATTTCCCTCTGGGATTAATAAAGTATTTTTGAATTGAATTGAATCAGAAGTGAAGTGTGTGCATATCATTAACAATAATGAGCAATCTTGCTGTTTTCAGCCCACCTCTGCCCCAGCAAACTTCTGCATCTAAGAACAGGAGCATCATAGCTTTGTTTTTTTAATGACTCGCAAGGCAATGATTTACACTAGAGAACACTGCAAATGTATTGGATAAACAAGTAAACCACACCTTTAAATGATTTGAGGGACATTTACAGGCCTTTAATTAAGTTGGATAGATTACTGTAGGAGCTAACTTAGAGTAGCTAAATGTGTTAGCTAGAAAACATACTTTAAAAGGGCTAAATGTCTCATTAAAGGATAGATAGATAGATAGATAGATAGATAGATAGATAGATAGATAGATAGATAGATAGATAGATAGATAGATAGATAGATAGATAGATAGATAGATAGATAGATAGATAGATAGATAGATAGATAGATAGATAGATAGATAGATAGATAGATAGATAGATAGATGGATGGATGGATGGATGGAGAGAGAGAGAGAGAGAGAGAGAGATGGATGGATGGATGGAGAGAGAGATGGAGAGAGAGATGGATAGAGAGATGGATAGAGAGAGATGGATAGAGATGGATAGAGAGATAGATAGAGAGAGATGGATAGAGAGAGAGAGATAGAGAGAGATAGATAGATATTCATGTACATCTCCAAGGCAACATGTTCAAAAGAAAGTGTTCAGTTAAAGATATTTTTAATGAGAATTTTTTTTTTCATTTTCATGATTTTTTTTCACTGAGATCTGTCTAAATCTAATTTAAGGGCACTGTGAGAGCGTAGTTCCCTGCCAAATCTGTGTCATGTCTCACAGTTTGAAAGGCAGTGATCATTTATTTCAAAATGTCTTCTTATGAAGAACAGAAAGTGAAAGAGACAGCACTGTAAAATCACCTTCACCGAAGCCGCCTCTGAGGTGCTGGGATGGACGGGTGACATATTAATAAACAGGAACCTTCAAATGCCTGTCTCAAAAATGCTAAAGCTTTGTCAACTTATGCTAAATGAGTGCGTGAGGGAGGATAAATAGACAGGGAGGAAATAACAAACACAGGATGATCTATTCTAGAAGAGCTCTAACCAAATCCCTTCATTGGCCACAAACATAAACTTGGAAAGATTTTTTTTTTTTTGCAGGGAATGAGGCCTATTTGGATCTCTGCTGATAGGGATTGATCTAAAATTTACCCAGATTACCAAGGGTTTGGAGGATAATCCAGCTTTCTACAGCCAAATCATGTAATAGCATACACATACATGCACACACTATCTACAAACAAGTGGGAAAAGTTCCAGAAATCCAGTTTCTATGTATCCGCTTCATAAGCATCAGCATGGCAGTTAGACACAAACCACACCCTGGGGTGAGGGAGAAAAAAGTTCATCTGCTATAAGTGCTCTTTAGCTTTCAGCATCTTTTTTCTTCAATCAATCGGTGCTCGGCTTACAGCGCTAGAAATTCTTTACCCAGTCACCCTTTTGTTTTTGTATTGACTGGTAAAAGAGTGAAAAAGAGCAGTTTGGAGTGGTT